CGGGCTGCTGGCTCCTGGAAGCCGGCGGCTCCGGCCCTCTCAGAGCCTCTACTGCATGCCCTCCCCCCCGGAGCCCAGCCCAGACCAAAGGCCCACAGACGGCACCTCCGCCAGCGCCCCCATCCCCCCACCCCACCCCGGCAACCCGGACAGAGGGGCAGACGGCAGCCCGGCGGGGCCTCCCTCACCCCTGGCGGACACTTCATCCGACCTGCCGGGCAAGGACAGCCCCTTCGGGGACCTGGAACAGTTCTTGGCGGCTACTGAGAGGAGGGGCCGGGGCCCTGGGGGGCGGCCGGAGCCCCAGCCCCCAGGGGTGAGGAAGGAGCCGTTGCTGGAGCAGCTGAAGGGCACACGACGCCATCGGTGAGGTCCGCGCCACGGGCCGGGTGGGTGGTGGGGGAACTGCGCTGTCCGAAGCCCACATCCTCAGAAAGCTTGTCAGAGGCCTGGGATGGGCCCGGTCCGGCGGAGCCTTCCTCTGGGTGGCATCCAGGCCGGCCCTGCTCTGCAGAGCCCTCCCCTGGGGCCACGTGTCCAGTGTAGCAGAGAGGCACACACCCTGCCCCAGAGAGCAGCTGGGGCCAGCAGTGGCCAGGGTCTCCCTCCATCCCTGGCTGTCTCCTCACGGGGCCACATAGGGAGGACAGCCGGGTCCATTTCAGTCTTGTGTTTGGGGGAGGGTCTGCCGTCAGAGCCTCTGGCTGCCAGGTGGTCCTAGCTGCTCCATTAGGTCCGACCCCCACCCTTCCAAACCCAGGGCTCTAGGTCTGTGCGGCCTGGTGGTGGCTCATCTTAGGTTTCTCCATTTTGAGAAGAGTGTGTGGGTTCCGTAAGGAGCCCAGGGTGGCAGGGGACTTCACGTCCCTTCCAAGGAGGAAGGCTGTCAGGGTTTCCTGAGAACCAGCGAGAGGCCCAGCAGTCAGGGGCCCGTGTTGTCTGGGAGGCTCTGGGTGCACACCCCTCCTCCCCCGTGGGGGGCGGGTTCCTTCATCTCCCTGGGCCTCAGATTTCTTGTCTTCAGATACGCTTCTGACGTTCCTCTGGGTGCCCCAGTTTGGGGTACAGACCCTTTTCAGAAAGAAGCTGTCTTATGCCCTCCCTTCCAGGCTTGTCTCCTTGGCCCCCTGGCGGAGCTGCATACGACCCTGTGACTCCCTAGGGATGAGGGCCCCGACTCCCTGCACCGACCTGGGCCGTAGCGTTTAGAAGTGGGGGGAGGCAGGGCCAGGCAGAGCCCCTCCTGCTGAGCCGGGAAGCTACCTGTGGCTCCGCCCATCCCAAGGCCGGCTCTGGGGCGGCGGGGAGGGGCAGGCAGGTGGGGACCCTGCCTGAGCACCCCAGGTTGGCTGCGGGTGGGCGAGGCCTCCAGGGGCCGCCAGCGGGGCTGGAGGTCCCAGCTGTCCCCACAGTGCCTCTGTACCGGCTCTGCCCCCGGCAGACAGGCTGCTGTCGCTGACGCTCCTGGCTTTCGAAGGCCTGAACACGGCCGCCTCCAAGGACCGCTGCCTGGCCTGCATCGAGGAGCCCTTCTTCTCCCCGCTGTGGCCCCTGCTGCTGGCCGTGTACAGGTGCGGCCCCGCCGCGTGCGCGTCCCTGAGCTGCCTTCCTCCCAGGCCTCCTCAGGTGCTGCGCGTGTGCAGGCGGTGCCACGCGCACCCCCCCACGGCTCGGGGCGTGGCCAGCTCTCCCCAGCCCCGCCCCTGTCCCCTCCCGGGCGGGGCCCTGGGCCGCTGAGCCTGGCCCCTCTCTGCCCCAGGAGCGTTTACCGCCTGCGGGAGGCCGCCCTGAGTAGGAGCATGGAGCTGTACGGGAACGCGCCCCCGGCGGCCGTCGGCGTCCCCACCAGGCTCCTCCCCCGGGACCCCGAGGCCACGGCAGGCGGCGCCTACCCCTACTGTGCTGCCGCCCAGGAGCTAGGGCTGCTGGTCCTGGAGAGCTGCCCCCAGAAGAAGCTGGAGTGCATTGGTGAGGGGGGACGGTTTGGTTGGAGGGAAGGGCGAAGGGAGTCAGATGAGACAGAGTCCCGTCCCGGAGGGCGACTGGAGTCTGCGCCTTCAGCCCTCAGCGGCAGGCCCTTCTCCTGTCCGGGGGGTGTGTGACCCGTGGGACATGAGTGGTGGTGGTCCAGGCTCTGCCCAGCCCTGCACGCGATGGGGGTGGGGCGGCGCCCGGGGCCGTACCGGGATGAGGTCCCCACCCCCTCACCCGAAGCCTGGCTTCTGCGACGCAGTGCGGGCCCTGCGGGTCACCTGTGCCTGCGCGGAGGACTACTCCCGGGCTCGCGAGGCTGCACCCCAGCCGGGCATCGCCGCCATGTGAGTCCCAGGAGGCCGCGGCCTGTGGTGGGGACTGGGCGAGAGGGGCTGCCTTCAGAGGCCAGGGGAGCGGGAACCCTGCCATCCAGGCCCCGGCCCCGGCACCTCGGGATCCCGCCCGGCCTGGCCCTGCTTCTCCTTGAGGAGAGTGTGGCCCATTTCCACCAAAGACCCCGGGCTCCAGCCCTGCTGATGACGCGGTCCAGTCCATCGCTCACCCGGTGGCGTGTGCTCCCCTCAGGTGCATGCTTGGGGAAGCCGCCCCGGTCCTGTCCTGGGGAAGAGCCTGTCCCCTGTGCTGAGCCCCAGCCTGGGGTTCCTGCACTGCCCCTGCCCCAGCCTCCTGAGGTGGGCAGGTGTCTTCCCCACCTGGGTTCTGCCTTATCTCACCTGCACCGGCCCGTAGCCAGCAGCGTGTCCTGGCCCTGGCGCCCACCTGGGGCTGGCGACCCTCACCCTGTGCCAGAGACCGGGGTCGCTCTGAAAGCACCTGTCCTTGCAGCCAGCTGGGTGGGCTGTGGGGTCAGGCCGGGGGACCCACCTGGCTCTCACTGGCCACCATCACTACTGTACCATCTGGTCTCCGAAAAAGTTGCAGCAGGTGAAAGAGCCCCAGAACTGAAAGCATTTCCGAGTCCCAGCTGCAAACCCACGCTAGCTCTCTTCTCAGAACATCCAAGGAGCGGCGGGGGGGGGGGGGGGCCGCGGGCCTCTTCCTGTCTCTACGTGAGAAGAAAGGGTGGAACAGAAGGGGGCAGACAGGCGAGTTTTCTCACTTGCCCGTCCACGCCGACACCATCCACCTCAGCAAAGCTCATACTCACCCAGAGCAAAGCCCTGTGCTCTACACACACGTCCCTGACAGACAGAACCACCGTGAGGCCAGCGTCCCCACACCTGAATGACACAGCCAATTACAGAACAGACACATGCCGGGTACGTATACTAAAAGCCTTACCTTTTATCCCGGCAACGTGCTAAACAGAGGGTATTGCTTTATCCCCACTTTACAGATAAGAACACTGAAAATTAAGAAAGCTAAGTAACTCGCCTTGGGTCACACACCCAGAAGACTTCTAGTGGTCACTCCCAGCCTCCCAGGGACGGGCACTGTCTCTCTGATTTATTAAAGATCAGGTGTAAATCTTGCAGAGAGAAAGCCATTGCTCTGGAAAGGAGAGATCCCCAAATACTGGGAAACGATCTGAAAAGAGATGAGCACCACAGAAAATCCAGCACCTCCGACATTCCCTCACGGCCCCTCAGCAAAACTTCTTGATGTCTTAGATAGCCGGGCGGGCGGGGGCGGGGGGAGTTTGCCAAAATATGTTGTGGCTTTAAGCTTTTCTCCTGGGCGCAAAAGCAGCACAGCGCTTTATCTGCAAAAGCAGTTTTAAGGCAAAGGTTTCCTCAGGAAGTGCAGTCAAAGGGGGCCACATATGTACCATTTCCGCACAAGAATCCCACCCCCACCCGTAGCTGGCATCACTGCCACCCGGGAACTCCTGAGACTGCGCAGGCTTGGGAAGGCAAAGGACGAGGGGCTTAAAGTAAATGCTTAACTAAGAAGAGTGGAGGGGAGAAAAGAGAAGAAAACCTGTAGCGCTTTCAGTTACTCCAATAACTAACGCCCTCTTCTGCTTTCCCAGCCCAGGAGGTTTCCTCAGGGGAGCAGCCAGATGACGTACGTGCACTCTGGGCACTTTCAGGAAATCTGTGGCCACCATAGACAACCTGCTGCTTCATCTCTGGAAGAAACGTGGGCTCTCATTTTGAGACTTGGTCTGTTTCTCTGCGGCCTTGGATGCGCTATGGCGGGGGGGGGGGGGGGGGGGCCGCTGTGTGTCCCTGCAGGTGGGTGGCACCCAGGGAGGTGGGGGCAGGAGTCCCTGGTTGGTCATCAGGTTCAAACCAGTCTGCCTCCGTGCTCCTCGCCAAGAGTACTGGCCCGTGGGCCCTTCGCCAGGGTTTTGAGCATCCCCCAGGGCCTCCCTCCCTCACTTAGGTGCCTCTTGCAGAGGGTCTGGGGTACCTGGAGTGACACGTGAGTGACTCTGACCCCAGGAGTGAACAGGCTGCCTGGGACACGGGCTATCCTCTCCGTCATCCCGTCCCCGGGCTCGGGCAAGCTCACGGGAGAGCTTCACTGTGGGTCCCGTCCCCGGGCTCGGGCAAGCTCACGGGAGAGCTTCACTGTGGGGCCTCCCTGGTCCAGCCCTGGGCTCTGCGGCACAGGGTCCCCATTCAGGATGGCCTCAGCAATCCCAAGTGGTCTCTTGTCACGCTAACCCAAGGCCACCCCCAGCCCCCTGAGGCCGGCGGGCAGGAGAGGCACGGGGACAGCATCCAGCAAGCCCAAGGCTGCTCCAGGGACCTAGCTGGGAGGCTTCAGGGCTGTGGGGATTGAGCAGCACCCCCAGTCCCTGGAGCCTCCTGGCCGGCTCTGCATCTCCCCAACAGTGGCGCCGACGACCTGCTGCCCATCCTGTCCTTTGTGGCGCTGAGGAGTGGCCTCCCCCAGCTGGTGTCGGAGTGTGCAGCCCTGGAGGAGTTCATCCACGAGAGGTGGGAGCCTCGGGCCAGCGTGGGGGCTGAGCTCGTGCTCCCACCCATGCACGGGGCCCACGGCCCCTCTCCCTGCCCCTCACCCAGCACGCCGCCCAGAGGAGCCGGGGGCCATCCCCTGAGCAGCATCTGCCTGGGGAGTGGGCCGTCCCCCAGCCCAGCGCCCTGACAGCCCGTGGGACCTCAGCATCCAGGTTCTGCCCCGCAAGGGCAGGTGCCCCTTCCAGAATGTCGGGGTCTCCTTGCATCCCTCCAGTGACAGGTGCTTTGTGCCACCTCCGTGCAGGTACCTGATCGGAGAGGAGGGTTACTGCCTGACGTCACTGCAGAGCGCCCTGAGCTACGTGGAGCTGCTGCCCCGGCGGGCCCTGGGCAAGTAGCAGAGGACGGGCTGGCCAAGGACTGGCCCAGAGGCACCTGCATGGGGCGGTGGGCTGGCCGAGGTGGGGCTCTCGCCCCCGCCTGACATCAGCCCCTAGGGCTCAAGGAGGCCCCTCTGCTCCTGATAGGATGGGGCTGACCCGAGTCAGCTCCCAGGAACCAGGCCCTTCTCTTTCCTGTCCCCACCTGTGAGAGGCCCCGTGCAGGGAAACTGGGCGCCCCTGGGGCCTGCACACTCCAACGGCTCAGTCCGCTGACACCCTGCAGGCCCCGCAAGCCCAAAGACAGAGGGGCCGTGGGCCTGACCGAGGGCAGGTCTGCTCCTCTCCCCTTCCCGTCCGCCGTGACACACGGAGCTCCCTGAGCCAGGTTCTTGTCTGAGTCGAGAAGAGAGCCTGTCACCCCACAGGAGGCCTGGGGCCCAGGTGGGTTTAGACTGTGCTGTTTATTTATTGGTCACTGACCACTCTGTCCTGGAGACCCAGGTGTCCCCAGGGCACCTGCCCATGTGTGGGAGCTCTGAGCCACACTCCCACCCTTGGCAATGGGCACGGACATCCTGAGACCCCTGGCGAATCCCCACCCCCACTCAGCCCCTTCAGGGTCGGTGTGAACCCAAGGGTCGGCGCCTGCCAGGAGCCCCACCACCTGCCCACCCTGACTGCTACAGGCCCCTGGGCAACCACTGACCCAGCTGGAAATAAAGAGGTCACTGGTGTCTCCGTCAGCGCGGCTCACCTGCTCCCCATCCCACTGGCCGGGCGGAGGCCTGGGCAGCACAGCCACTCCCAGCCAACCAGCCAGAGCCAGAAGAGGGTCCCAGAGGCCCCTGGGGCCATCGCCAAGCCCAGCCCGCCTCCCAGATCTCTACCCAGGAGTGGGATCCATGGGGCTGCCCCTTCTAGCACTGGACACACTCTGGGGGGTCTAGCAGGTTGGCAGGGTCAGAGGTCATCACTGGGCAGGATCTGAGCCCCGGACCACTCCTCCTGAAGGGTTCCCAGGAGTCATGTTGCTCTCCAGGTGGGGAACACACGCAGGTGGCCCGGCCCCAGCCCCAGGCAGCATCTGTCACCGTGGCAGAAAGTGGTGTGGGAGCAGCGTGTGGGTCCCTGGGGAAGGCCCAGCTGGACCTGACTGTGTGTTCTGTGCACGCAGTGTCCCAAGGCTGTGCGGGAACCTCGTGAGGAAAGTGAGGCACAGAAGGGGCAACGCCTTCTCCAGGCAACACCTCCCGGTGGCAGAGCTCTCTTCTAGCCCAGCAGGTTGACTCTGGAGGCCAGAGGGGGCCGGGGACGTGACCCCAAGGGAAGGCCAACCCAAGTTCCGGGGGCAGCTCCCTCTTTCGGGAGCCTTTGTGGGCAGGGGGTCCCCTGCCCACCAGCACCCCAGGAACGACAGGCGGGCACTCGCCTGCTCACCCTGCCCTGCCCTCAAAGCTCTCAGTCCCTGAGTCCCTGCCATCTCCAGAGGAAGCCCCCCAGTCCTGGACACGAGGGCCAGCCAGCCATGAAGCCTGGGGAGGATGACCCCCCTGCTCCAGGCCTTGGCGGTCTCAAGGATGGGATTTTAAGCCCCCTTTCATAGAGCAGGTGGACGATGGAGCAAAGCCTGACCGTGGGCGCTCCTGCTGGCTTTGGGGAGCTCTCTGGAGGCGCTGATCAGACGGCCCTTCTGCTGCTGGCTCTGGGCCAGTCCTTCAGCCTCTTCCAGCCTACAGCCCTTTGGTGAGTGATGGATTCTTCACACAGAAAATCCTCCAGATCAACAAGAAAAAGGCAGGAGCCCCAGTCAGGAACATAGCAAAGGCTGTGAACAGGCTGTCTTCAGAAGAACTTTAAAAAGCTCATCAGCATAAGAAGAGGTGTTTAAAGTCATTTTTAAAATCAAGAAATGCAAATGAAAACACTTACAAGACAGACCTTCCCTTGCACTGAACTGGTGAAGATGAGAAAGCTGGATGATGAGGAGAGTGGTGCTGCCTGGGAGACTGGACCCAGCCGCACAGTGTGCAGCGTGCTGGGCGATGGTCCAGGGAGCTGCGGTCCTGGCCGAGGTAGGTATTAACTGACCCTCCCACCCATCTGCTCTGCCCGGTTATAGCCCAGGGTCACAGGAGGACCCCTACGCAGCTGGCGCTGAGGCAGTGTGGTATCCACCCCCCTGCTGTGTAACAAACCAGCCCACGCACTGGCTTAAACATGCGACAGCCATTTGCTTTGCTTGTGAAACTCCCATCTCGGCAGGGTTCAGTGGGGACATCTTGTCTCTGGCCCACCTGCAGCATCAACTAGGTCAGCTTCCAAGTTGGGGTGACCCAAGATCAAGGGGTTGGAGTCATCTGGAGATTTGTCTACACATCTGCCACCAGCGAGGGCCTCAGGGCTGTGGGAACAGCCGTGGGAGGCCTGCATTCGTTTCCTGTAACTAGCTACCGGGGAGCTTAAAACAACAGAAATTTACTTTCAAAGTCCTGAAGTCTGAAGTCAAGGCATCCACAGGGCCGTGGCCCAGCAGAGTGCTAGACGAGAACCCTTTCCTGCCTCGTCCAGCTCTCGGGGCTCCTGCAGTCTCTGCCTGTAGCTGCAAGTCTCTGCATCCATCATATGCTTCCTTCCGAAGTATGTAACCTTGCTCCTTACAAAGACATCATTCTGACAGGGTTTAGGATCCAGCCTAATCCAGTCTGACTTCGTCTTAACTCGATTATATCTCCAAAGATCCTATTTCCAAATATGTTCACATTCCCGGGTTCCATGGATCTTGGACATTATTCAGCCTTCATTATTTGGCCCCTTCATGTAATTGCTTTCCTCCCAGTATGTGGCTAGGTCCCAAAATTGAGCATCTCAAGACAGCAAGGCAGTTTTATGACTTAACCTGGAAAGCCACGCAACGTCACTTCCATTCAACGGGTCTTCTATGGGACTACTCCTCTAAGGGAGGACGGTGCAAAGACCTGCTCAGGTACGAGTGGCACACTGAGAGCGATGCTCCCCGGAGTAGCACACAACAGTTAACAGCAAACACCTGGGACCACGCAAACAGCACTCAGAGCAGGAGCGGAGAAGCAGGGCTGGATACAGAGCAGAACATCGGATCTGGTGCCTGGAAGCGACTCTGACCTAGGCAGAAAGGCGCCTTCACGCCGCCTCAACGAGGCCCGGGTTGCTGATTTGTTTTTTTCGCTGGGGGGAGGAGGGTGCGGCGCCCCCAGCCGTGGGAGCGCGGGGTCCTAACGACTGGACCGCCAGGACCCCCGAGGTTGCAGCTTTTAAATGACGCTGAAACGCCTGGCCGGCTTCCACCTGGAGCGCTGGCCCCGCCAGAGGGCAGCTCGAGCCCTCCCTCCCGTATCTGATCAATCCCGTTAGGAAACGAGAAGGGTCCCGTCCCTGTTGGGGTAGCCCCGCCCCCAGGAGATTGCCCCGCCCCGCGTCCGGTACCCGCTCCCGGCAGGCGCACGAAGAGCCACGGTACCTGCTTCCTCAGCACCCTGGCGCTCCCGAGGGTCCAGCTCGGGAGGTCGGCGCCCGCCTCGGTGGGAGCGTCCGCGGTGTGCCCCCTGTCCTCGGCTCCGCAGGCCGTGGAGGTTTGTGCTCCCGGGCCCTCACTAGGCCCCGCCCCTGTCCGCGTTGGCGGAGGCGGTGGTGCCCGAAGAGACCCCGCCCCTAACGTCACGGCAGAGGGGTGGAGCCGGCCCCGGCGGAAGCGAGGTGCTGCTGGAGAGGCCCGAACAGAGTAGCGGGCGCTCGGGGACTGCTGGTGAGAGACAGGTAGGGCTGTCGTCCTCCGGGCCCACAGCACGATCTGGTGGGCAAAGGGGTCTCTGCTCCACTCAGGTGGCGCACGTCTCCAGGGAAGGGGGTGCTGTAGGTACCAGGGGCGCACAGTTGGTGGGGGACCTGTGGATGCAGGCGAGGGCTCTGGAGGCGCGCAGCGGGCAGGGAGGGGTCTCTGCGTCCTGACACCCTATTCCCGCCCGCCAGCATGGGCAGCAGCTCGCTGTCCGAGGACTACCGTCTGTGCCTGGAGCGCGAACTTAGGCACGGCCGCGCGGGCGTGTGCGGGGACCCATCGCTACGCGCCGTGCTCTGGCACATCCTGGTGGAAGACTTCGACCTGCATGGGGCGCTGCAGGATGACGCGCTGGCACTACTCACCGATGGCCTGTGGGGCCGCGCCGACCTGGCCCCTGCGCTACGCGGCCTGGCCCGCGCCTTCGAGCTGCTGGAATTGGCCGCCGTGCACCTGTATCTGCTGCCTTGGAGGAAAGAATTCACCACCATCAAGGTAGGGCGCCGAGCCGAGTGGGGGCCTCTGCCCAGGCTACTGGGGGTTGGCTACCATCGGGACGGTGGCTACCGTTGGGCATAAAGGATTTCAGGTGTCCTCAGAGACTGATAGGCTTCAGAGAGCTCAGTGTGCTGAGCGGTCCTGGGCGTGTTGGAACATCTCTTGGCCGAGGTTCCCCTTTGTACTCCTGGTGCTGAGAACATGGGGTGGGTGGAGGTCACCTGTTTGGATACCCGCCTTCCGAGGGGGATCCTGGTCCTTAAAGCTTGTATCACTGCCCTCCCCAAAGTGGCCTTGTGACCCCAGTTACCAAAGAAATCCTAGGACAGGCACACGGGAAGGACTGGGCATTCCAGGGTCACCCTAATCTCTCCAGGAGAGATTTGTGGCTCCATTTGTGGAAGAGGACATGGGATGGGTTATCCCCTATGAAGCAGGCAGGGGCTGGGGGTGCCCCTGCATGTCCTAGTGGAGCCGGGCTAAACAAGAACCGAGCTCACCCCCCAGCCTGGGTAGAGCTGAGCCCAGGGCCGGCCAGGTCCCTCCAGGTGAGCTGCAGGCTGGCAGGAGGGGGCACGCTGCCTTGTGCTCTGAGCTAATTCAGAAGAGTGGGAAGGTAATGATGTCACTGGGCACGTGGGCGTCCGCCTCCACTGGTTGCCATGGCAGCAGCAGCCTCTCTCAGTGAGGTGAGCCGTGGAGCCCACTGCTCCACTGGGACACCTACTGTTTTGAGGTTCTAGGACTTTCATTCATCCATTCAGACGAGGGCAGGATGCAGCCCCATGGGGGGCCAAGAGCAGAACAGACAGGCCTGATCTTGAGACACTCACGGGCTTCAGCACTGGGCAGACCTGGATGGGGTCTGCTTCTGCCGGCTCTGTGGCTTGGGGCAAGTTACCTAATCTTTTGGAATCCATTCCTTCCTCCATGAAGCAAACACGAGGACAGTCCAGCGCAAGGTCCATTGTGAGGGGTGAAGGCCCAGCCCTGAGAACAGTTTTACAGCAGTGCGCCATCTGTGGAGGTACTCTCATCAGCTGTAAGCAGAGGTACACTCACAGGGTCCCAGGATCAAGGAACTGTAGACATGTGAGAGACACGTGGTCACCATCCTAGGGACCCTTCTAGTTCCTCTGCAGCCTGGAGCCTCCAAAAACTACAGATGTTCCATCCGTGTGGTGGAAGGCTGCACAGCTGGAGAAGTGAATGGCTAGGCCTCTGTTGTGATAGGGAAAGCTCTCAGAAACTGGAAAAGCAGAGTTCAGAATGAGGCGTTTAGGAGGCTACCTGCTCAGAGCAAATAAGCACCTGTGTTCTTTGTGTGTTTGCATGACCACTCAGCAGGTACACAGGAAACTAACTAAAGTAGCAAACCCCCACAGGTGAGAGGAGGTGGAGGGGACCCAGAGAGCAGCGAGATTTCTCAACAGGGGCTCTTTATTTAGTTTGTTCTATGACCCAGGTGAAATGTGTTAGATTAAAAAATTGTGGGGGCTTCCCTGGTGGCGCAGTGGTTGGGGGTCCGCCTGCCGGTGCGGGGGATACGGGTTCGTGCCCCGGTCTGGGAGGATCCCGCGTGCCGTGGAGCGGCTGGGCCCGTGGGCCATGGCCGTTGGGCCTGCTCGTCCGGAGCCTGTGCTCCGCAATGGGAGAGGCCACAACAGTGAGAGGCCCACATACGGCAAAAAAAAAAAAAAAAAAAAATTGTGATGCCTGGGTCTACCTCAGCCAGTGAGATCAGAGTTTCTGGGGGTGGCCCTGAACATCTATGTTTTTTTTTGTTTTTGGCCGCACAGCTTGCGGGATCTCAGTTCCCCGACCGGGGACTGAACCCAGGCCCCAGCAGTGAAAGCGCCAAATCCTAACCACAAGACCACCAGGGAACTCCCAGCATGTATGTTTTTAAACAGCTCCTCTGGAGGGAGTGTCAGCACATCCCAGACCGCCTTGGGGCCACGCCGCCCCCTGGGGTGAGGATGGTGGCCCCCCAAAGCAAGCCACTGCCAGAGTGCAGCCGAGGCGGGGGCAGGTCTGTGGGAGGGTGGGCTGCCGCCGACGGGCCCCCTCCCTTGCAGACTTTCTCAGGGGGCTACGTGCACGTGCTGAAGGGCGCACTCTCGGAGGATCTTCTCATCCAGAGCTTCCAGAAGATGGGCTATGTGCGCAGGGACGACCACCGCCTCATGGTGGCCGCCCTGCCCCCCGCCCGCCAGCTTGTGCAGGTCGCCCTGGGCTGCTTTGCCTTGCGGTTGGAGTGTGAGATCCTGGGCGAGGTGCTGGCGCAGCTGGGCACCAGCATGCTGCCAGCCGAGGAGCTGCTGCAGGCACGGCGGGCCAGTGCGGATGTGGCCTCCTGCGTGGCCTGGCTGCAGCAGCGACTAGCCCGCGAAGAGGAGCCGCCACCTGTGCCCCCCCGTGGCTCCCCGGCCCGGTGCCAGGCCCGGCTGGACCTGTACCGGGACCTGCAGGAGGATGAGGGCTCAGACGAGACCAGCCTATACGGGGGACCCTCGCCAGGCCCCGACTCACCCCCCTCGGAGCTGGCCTGCCAGCCTCTGTTCTGGGAGCAGAGTGCCAGACTGTGGGGCGTGGGGGGCGGGGCCTGGGAGGCTGAGGCCAGCAGCCCAGCCTCGGAGGAGGAGCCCGAGGCTGAGGTCTTCTCCCTCCTCTCACTGCGCCAAGAGCTGCTCAGTCGGCCCGGAGACCTGGCTGCCCCCCAAGCCCCTGGAACCCCTGAGCAGGCCAGCCCCCCCCGAGTCCCCGAGCCCCCCGGCTACCAGACACACAGCTGCCTGGGCCCTGGCGCCCTCCCCACCCTCTGCTGTGACACGTGTCGCCAGCTGCACACTTCCCACTGTGCCGCCCTGGCCACCTGCCGCCCGGGCCACCCGCTGCGCGCCCTGCACGGAAACCACCAGCGGCGCCTGTGGCTGCAGCGAGCCCAGGTGGACGCCTTGCTCTACGATGCCCCTAGGCCCGCCTGGCCCTAGGCCCAGGGCTTTCTGGAGACACGTTCCGTGGTGCTTTTCTGGGCCTCATCCCTCCTCGGGCCCGGGCCACTGGCCACCCTGCCTCCTGCCCCCCAGGGGTGCTGAGCACAGCGGCAGGTCGGGAGGCATGGAGACTCAACCCTGCTACGTGAGAGGTGGGGGCCGTCTTCCTCGGAAAGCTGCCGGCCCACCCCCAGGGAGCACCCTCTCCCACCTCTCCCCGGCCCCACCACTGGCCCCCGCGCCGCAGCTCCTGACCTGCTCCCTGCAAGTGCCCAAAGGGGTGCTCCACAGAGGAGTGTCCTTGGGGGCTCAGGTGACCTCATGAGCCCCGGAGCTTTGCTAAGACCATTCTAGGGGCTCTGCCAGGTGCATGGCTGACCCGGCTGAGGGGACCTGGTCCCCCATGGGTGTCACAGACCAGCACTAAATGAGCTGAGTGCTGGCCTGAGACCAGCCCCCATGGGCTCCAGTCAGAGCTGGGCGGGGAAGCTGGACCCAAGAGCAGAAAAGAAATGATCTAGTCTCCAACCAGAGTGAGTGCCCAAGAGTTACAGAGAACAGCAGGCGGGAGACGGGGAGCCACAGAGCCCGAGAGGCTGTCACCCCACTTCCGGGTGGAGCGTGGGGGCTTCTGAGCAATCAGTACCCCAGCAGCCTCCCTGCTACATCTTCCTGCTGTCCGGCTTTGGAAGGCAGGATGAGAGATCTCCAAGGCTCCCACCCCAGAGTCCACCTGGGTCCAGTGGTAAAGATGCGCCAGCTGCCAGCCCGCTCACAGGGCTGGAGGGGGTGGGCCTGCCCACCTGGGCCTGGGGTGGGGCCAGTCTTGTGTGTGGCCCCTCCTCCCCACACCTGTCCGTCACGCGAATCACAACCTCAAAGTACATTAAAGGACACTGGATCCAACTGCGTCTGTGAGGAAAGCGTTTATCTCTCTGAGGCCCAACCATGTCCCTCCCCAGGGGCCTCAGTGGAGAGTGGGGACAGGGCACAGCCCCCAACCCAGGGCTGTCCGTCTGGTGGGCTCAGAGCTACCCAGACTCCAGTCCACCAAGCTGGCGGCACCCCACACCCCACCCCTCCTTCCCACTCTGAGTCCTGCTGCCCCAGCGGGGGGTCACCGTAGCCTCTCCCTTCCCAGGCAGACCCTGGGGATCAAGTGGGGACAAAAGTGACCACGTGGGGTCTGCTCGCCCCAAGCCAGAGACACCTCCTGAGATGGGCCCAGCCAAATTTCCTCCTGGGAAGTGAGGGTCTGAGGGCTTGGCAACAGGTGGACCCAGCTCAGCCACCAGATGGCAGAGCCACGAGATGACAGAGCCACCAGGTGGCGCCCGGCAGGGTGCCTGGGCCTGCAGGACGCACCCACCGGCATCCCCCGTGTCCACACTCTGCCGTTCTGGGGCAGCGGTGGGCAGAGGTGCAGGAAGCGGTGCAGTGAGCTGGAGCAGTTGGTCGGTCCTGGCCGAGGGACAGGCCGGGCCCCAGGGGCCCCCGCCCTCAGGGCTTGCAGCGCCGGCTCTGGCTCTCAGCTCCTGAGAATGTGGCCGGGGCAGCACGCTTGTTGCGGTGGTGGGGGAAAGTGGGCATGAGCTCCGGCTCGCAGGCTGCAGGGAGGGGGCTGCTCAGCGCCAGGTGGGGAGGGCCCCCCACGCCTCCCTCTGCTCCCCTCCTGGCCCTGCACGCAGTTCCTGTGGCACGAGCAGCCCGTGCCTGCTCGGGCCCCACCGCCCACCTGCCCAACAGCAGCCCCGGCCCGAACAGGGACCCCCAGCCAAGCGCCGGCCAGGGGGCGGCGGAGACTCACGCAGGGGCTTCTCCTTGAAGTAGGAGCTCTCCAGGCAGTCGCCGGCCGTCGCCCTGGAGAGAAGGCCTTGCCGTTCGCGGGGCCCGGGCCTGGCCGAGGCCCATCTCCCTCACACCTGCCCCGCACAGCAGACAGCTGGGTGGCAGGTAGGGACCGGGGACCCAGAAACCGACAGGAGCCTCAGAAAGGGCTTCATGACCTGGGCGGGCAGAGGCCCGGGCCTCACAGGCATGTCTGGGAGGGGCCCTCTTGGTCACGGCGCCCCTGCCCGCCCGCAGGCCGGGTCAGCACCTTTTCTTGGGGTCGTACATAAAGAGAAGGT